CCCCCCCCATTGTGAATTAGCATCCAACTATTAAAGAAAACACTTGGCCTTTGGTTCCTTGCACCAGCTTCATCCATTTACTGGCAAATGTCATGATTTCATTCTTATGAAAGCATAATTTTTGACCTAGGTTTATGTTGAAAATATATTTCTTTTTAAGAAATATTTTTTAGGTATAGATGGATGCAATATCTTTATTTCATTTATTCATTTTTATGTGATGCTGAGGATTGAACCCAGTCCTCACATGTGGGAGGCAAGCACTCTGCCTGCCACTGAGCTACAACCCCAGCCCCAAAATATGTTTCTTAAATCTCAAAATTGCTTCCTGATGCACTACCTTCTCTTATATGAAGGGCACTCACCTTAATCCTTTCTCATGGCTTTTGTTCCAATCATCCACACCATGGGAGTCCTGGTTTTCATATAAAATAGAGGAGCAGGAACCATTTCCTTTGAATCTCTCTATTTTCTGTTCATTGGATATTTTTTCTCTATTGTTGTCTTGAAGAGCAACTAATTCCTTCGTATTAAGTAGAGATTCAAACCCTGAAACAAAAAAATAAAAAATAAATAAAGTTACCTATGAGCAAAAGACTTTGAGCAGTGCAGCTGTTTCAGGACTTCACTATTAATAGGCACAAGGATCAAAAGTAAAACAGTTCACTAAAAAATATTTCCATGAAACCATAGTATGGTAACATTACCATAGTATGGTAACACATGCTTGTAATCTCAGCTACTTGGGAGGCTGAGATAGGAAGTTCACAAGTTCAAGGAAACCTCAACAACTTAGACCCAGTCTCAAAATTAAAAAGGGTATGGGATATAGCTCAGTGGTAAAGCACTCCTGGGTTTCCCAGTGCTGAAAAATTAAAAATAGTTCTATGAAGAAAGACAGTGATGGTAACATGACCAGTAGAAATTATTGGGCAAGAGATATGAAAAAATTGTGCTCCATATGAATCAAAATGCATACTGCTATCATGTAACAAATTAGAACAAATAAATAAATAATTTTTTAAAAAAGAAAGGTTATATTAAATTTTTTCTGTTAACTGGATATTTCATATTAGTATAGAAAATATATTAAAAATTTTTATTAATAATTTTTAAAAATTATTAGGGAAGGAAAACAGAAAGGATAAAATACACATACCAAATACAAACTTTAAAAAAGCAAATATGGAGATCTTTGCCAAGAACAAGGAAAGTATGAGAGGACAGATAAACAGTCAAAATAGTCCTCTGAGGCATCTGTGGATAATGTGCCTCCTTAGACAAAACAAACTTTTGCTTTATTTCTATTTTATTTTTTTTCTCCTCCCAGGCCAGTTTCTCCCAGGGATTCTTGCCTTCCTGGTGCTGCTCCATACAGATGCCCTGGATACTTTCTGTCTTCACTGCCTGCAGTTCCTCCTCTTGTTCCCACTTGAAGATCAGATTGGGAGTGAGTAGTGGGTACCCTGCACACGAGGAAAGGAATATCATGAGGGAAAGCAATGAAGAATCACAAATATCTTTCCATAAGATTGGGTCAAACTTTGGTCTTCTGATACTCTAAAGACAGAGAAAGATGAGTTTAACTGAAACAAAATGTCAAATTCATTGAAGAAAAAAAAAAGGCAAAGGAGAAAGGGAGAGGAAGGAAGAAAGGAAAGAAAAATAGAGAAATTTTTTTAAAAAGCTGAGATGTGGATGTGGGGGAAAAACCAGCCTCTAATGTGAAGAACTGATCTAATCAGATATGGTGACACAAGCCTATAATCCCAGGGTGAGATGGGAGGCTGGAGGATCATGAAGTCAAGGCCAACCTCAGCAACTTAGCAAGATCCTGTTTCAAAGCAAAGAAAAACAAAATTTTAAAG